AACATTCTAAAATTTTAGCACTGGCCATATTTGTGTTGATTTTAAAGAGGTTCTAAAATGGGTATCGGTTTCCTTCCTTTGGAGAGGTTCTGACACTCCTGGTTTTAATGATGTTTGGTTCTAATGACGCTGGCACTCTGAACTCGAAGCTCTCGCTCTGGAGCAGTGGCGGAAATTCGTAAAAAGTACTACTGGGCCAAAATTTGCATTTGGGAGAGAAACGGCCACCAGCATGCCTCCCGTGTTCCTTTTAGTATTGGGGTTGTCGTGTTATTGGGGACCGGACCAACGTCTGAACTACAGTGACCACAAACGATTCGATGTCTCACCCAGCCTCGAAGTCATGCACCGTGCCGGCTCTAGTTGCAAACATCGCAGCGTCCAAACCGAAAATAGCGCCTTAGATATCCTAGACGAACGAGCCTTCATTTCGCCCCAGATCAAGGATTTCTTGCATTTTTGGTCGTAAATTTCCTTATTTTCTGTCCTCGTCTCGCAGTTTCGGTGGCATATGGTTTCACCATGGCATATGGTCGACTTTTTATGTAACAGCACTTACATGACGTCAGCAGAATGAAGCATTCGTTTTGTTGGTTACGTCTTGCGAAAATTATGGGCATGATGGTAACACCCACGTAACCTTGAAATGCAGTGATTATGGAGATGTCTGTACCAAGCTATCCGAAAACACTGCACCCGTCCATAACCCACGCTGTGTACCGGACAACAAACACACTGCATCCCGTGCGTAACCCGTGATGTGTGCCAGACAGCGAACACACTGCACCCGCCCGTAACCCGTTCTATGTGCTGGACAACGAATACACTGCACCCATCCACAACCCATTCTATGTACCAGACAACGAACACACTGCACCCGTCCGTAACCCGGTCTGTTTGCCGGACAACGAATACATTGCACCCGTCCGTAACCCACGCTATGTACCGGACAACGAACACGCTGCATCCCGTGCGTAACACGTTCTGTGTGCCGGACACCGAACACGCTGCACCTGTCCGTGACACACTGCACCCGTCCGCATCCCCGTGCGCTGGACAACGAACACACTACACCCGTCCGTAACCCACTGCACCCGTCAACGTAAACCCGGTGCCGGACAACGAACACACTGCATCCCGTCCGTAACCCGCTCTGTGTGCCGGACAACGAACACACTGCACCCCTCCGTAACCCGCTCTGTGTGCCGGCCAGCGCGGGCGCCGTCGGACCTGACGGCAGCGGGCGCCGGCGCGTGGGGCCGACTGCAGGCGGCGGCGCTCCGCTCGGCCGTCGGCCCTCTCAGAGCGCGGCTGGCCTTCGGTCGCGGTCTGCTGCACCAGATGAGCGGCTGTCTGCACGGTGAGCGTCGCTGATGCACGCTGGATGTTCGGCAGGCCCTTGCCACATCGGTGCGGATACACGGTCAAAACGCAGATGAACATGCGTGACCGGTAGGCTGTTATTAGCTTACATGTTCAGACCCGCTCGGGTTCCAAACAATGCGTGCCCGGTATCTGCGCGTAGTCTGCCGGTATTCCTACCTGCCAAACCGTGCAGCTCGGGCAGGTAGGAGATTGGCAATTCGAGACTCTCGTACTGAAGATTCAGTTTTGCAAGATTCCAATAGATTAAGATTGAGGTGACGAATCTATTGCATGGGTTTCAGAGCGCAGGTAATTTTAATTGTACCGTTATGTCATGATGTTTGCTTTGTTTTCACAGACGTAAGCGCAATGAGTGAATGCTGTGAGAGTCGCACGTATCGTTTCTTCTTTCTTTTATTTCCTGACTGATCTGTATATCCGAACAGAAATATTTGAACCCTGAAAGTCAGGATTGCAAGTACCTGCATTGATGAGTCTCTTCAGTCTTGGGGTGGTGGTCTCGTCCTCAAGAACAAACCAGCCCGATCATTTTAAATAATTTTGCGGACATGAATAAATAAGGAAAATATCAGGTATCCCTAGGATGGCTAGTGGGTGCCTAAAAATGAGTTGCAGAGGAGTTGCAGTTGCGGATCATATAAGAATTGTACTTCAACGTTGTTGCATGTTCGGAAAACTATCAACCAAACAGCTCAGTTCTTCCGAAGGGAGATTATTTGTTCGTGTTGTTTTCGAAAGAGATCATGAACTCCACCGTAACAAATTTTTAACACAACATGGAAATAAGCCAAAAGCGCAGTTGGCGTCATTACAAGGGCGTAGACGTCGTCCACCTTGCCATGTAGTTACACAAAACCTTCTCCAATACTGAAGCTTCAATAACTATTGATAAACTGCCACCAATGGTTTCCTCAGTGATTCTTTTTTGCTCGAGTCCAAAATGAGCCGCTGAAAAGCCAACCACAAATCAACAACAGAAGTTGAAAGATAAGATCTGTCGGATGTTAACGTCTGGCGATTTTCATACAAGGGTTCAAATATTTTGGACACCCGATTTTTTCGAATCTATTGGACACCATCTATTTATCCAAACCTCAAACCGGCATTGTAATCGAAATCCACTCACCGCAGGATTTAAATACCAAATTACAGCGAATCCTCAGTTCCAGTGGGCATACAACTGGTAGCATCCAACGGCTCGATGCCAAGTGGGCTGTTGTGATGTTCTTGGCTATGTTTTTCCATGAATGCACGTGTAAACACATGCTTAAGGAGACGTGCATTTATTTAATGCCATCCGAAATGCAATACATCCTGCACCAAACCGACACTGCAAGAATGGTGACTTTTCTTGCGACGCAAGCCAATGCGACCGAAATTTACGCTGAAACAAACTCTGTGCGCAAACCCTAAGCTGACGGTTCTTCTAAGAGCAGTAGGTGCCGTCAGCGGTGTTGGTCTGGATCCAGGACAGCACCTCGGTGACTCGGGCGTAGACGCCCGGGTAGCCGGGCAGAGCACATCCCCGACCCCACGAGACGACGCCGATGAGGGAGTAGCGGTCAGACTCGAGGCTGACCAGCGGGCCGCCGCTGTCGCCCTGGCACGAGTCCTTGCCGCCCTCACTGAGACCGGCACAGATCATGGACGGGTTGATGCTGCTGTATGACGACCTGCAGGCGGTGTTGGAGATGACGGGCACGGTGACCTCCCTCAGAGTGGTGGCCTGTGAGCCACCCGAGCTGGTGGTACCCCAGCCGGTGACGATTGCGTCGGCGCCGACAAAGTCGTTACCGGCGGTGGGCAGGCACACTGGCGCCAGCGAGTTGTCACTTGGGAAAGTGATGGGGTTGGTCAACTTCAGCAGCGAGAAGTCGTAACCGGAGCCGGATACGGACGTGTAGCTCGGGTGGTTGATGATCTGCTGCACACTGGCGCGAATCTCACCGTCGCTGTTGCTGATGCGATGCTCCTTGAGAAGCACCTCGATCTGGCTGGGTGACGATCCGACCGTACAGTGGGCCGCCGACATCACGTAGCGGTTGTTGAGGACACTGCCGCCGCACCAGGTGCGGGTGCCGCCGGCGCTGACCAGGCCCGCCTGCCAAGGATACTCACGCACCTCGGTCTCCACGCCGCCGACGATGCGGGAGGAGCGGTTCGGAACGCCGCAAGAGCAGGAACCTGAAGGAGCAGCCGTAGTGGTAGCCTGTGATTCCGTCGCCTCCAGTTGGCAGAGGAAGCCGCTCCTCACCACCGAGTAGTCCGAGTGCCAGTCGACGGTCATCGTAGACACCGAGGTTACGGCGCTGGGGCCTGATGTACCACAGAACTTCTGACCGTTCACGGACAGCCAGTCCCAGGAGCAAGACGAGTGCCGTTCCACGTTAAACGCAGAGCAAGACATGGAGATGGTATCACCTGCGTTCTCCGCTGTCAGCTGGTAGTTACAGTCCTCGTTGATGGGATAATTGTTCGGATGGTTGGTGGACTTGATGGTGTAAGTGGTGTCGCGTACCAAGGTGCTGCCACCACACGTAAGTTCTGAGCCACCGCCACCGCCACCGCCGCCGCCGCCGCCGCCGCCGGCGACCGTCAGCGTGCACTGGAAGCCCGGTCTTACTACGCTGTAGTCGCTGTGGAAGGAGATGTCGAAGGCCTGGGCTGTGGATGCCGTAGGTCCCGAGGTACCGCAAAACTTCTCGCCGTTCACCTCCAGCCAGTCCCACGCGCACGAGCTGTGCTGCTCCAAATTAAAGCTGCTGCAGGCCAAGGTGATATCGCTGTCACTGGACAAAACATAGTCGCAATCGACGTAATTTGGGTAGTTTGATGGATGATTGGGAGACTCGATTGTGTACTCGCCTTCTGTCAGCACGTGAGTTCCACAGTCAAGGTTTGTTGCGCGTGGCTGGATGGGAGGAAGCGAGTCGTCGCGGTCGGAGGGAGGCGGTTTCCAGTCGCCCTTATCGGAGGGAGGCGGTTTCCAGTCGCCCTTATCGGAAGGAGGTGGTTTCCAGTCGTCCTGACGCACTGGCCCCGGGGCCGACCAGGCCGAGGAGCAGACAACCAGAATCAGTGCGAATGTCTTCATCGCGGTGGCCGAATGCTGCTGTGAGAGACCCGCCGTCTTTTATACCAGGAGACCATGATCTGCACCTCTGGCCCGCACAACGGCAGCGAACACCTGCAGCGATTTTGCCAGTCACTGATGCTGGGGAGAAAATCGTGTCTTTGTTTTCTTAGAGGCGCTCTCAAAAGAATATCGACCAGTTATCTTGTATGTAAGCACCTGTTGACGTAGGCCGCTTCGAGAACGTGCGTGTTCTGTCCTTTGCCGGCGAATGGCCTCTCCTGTGCCAGACATAGGGCCTCTCCTGTGCCAGACATACGGCCTTTCATGTGCCAGATATGCTGCCTCTCCTGTGCCAGACATACGGCCTTTCATGTGCCAGACATGCTGCCTCTCCTGTGCCAGACATACGGCCTTTCATGTGCCAGATATGCTGCCTGTCCTGTACCCAATGCGTGCCGAATGTGCACCCACTTCAGTGCTGGATGTCCGTGCCCGGATTAGACACGCGGCCTCTCCTATACCGGGCACGCGGCCTCTCCTATGTCGGACACACGGCCCCTCCTGTGGCGGGAGCACGGCCGCCCCAGTACTGGACGGCTGCTCCTGTGCCGGGCGCAAGTCCTCTCATGTTCCGGCACACGGCCGCACCAGTGCCGAATATGTGGCCTCTCCTGTGCCCGACGGCCGCTCCTGGTGACATGCGCGGTCTCTCCTGTGCCGGACACCCCACCGCTCTAGTGCCGGACGTGTGACAGTCCCAGTGAAACAGTGACCTTCCAGTGAAACAGTGACCCTCCAGTGAAACAGTGACCTTCAATAGAGCGGCATTGCAGCCGCTCTAGTGCCGGACGTGTGACAGTCCCAGTGGAACAGTGACCCTCCAGTGAAACAGTGACCTTCAATAGAGCGGCATTGCAGTCGCTCTAGTGCCGGACGTGTGACAGTCCCAGTGAAACAGTGACTCTCCAGTGAAACAGTGACCCTCCAGTGAAACACTGACCCTCCAGTGAGCGGCTCACCGCCGCTTCAATGAGGTACTGGCGCTGTAGCTCAATTTTGAGGAAAATCATTATAATGACAAAGTGCGGGTGAATGGAACAAGTGTTTCATGCCTTGCTCTATTTTTTACGAGTTTATTATATGTAGCCATTAGGTCCAAGGTACATATGGTATGGACGCTACCTAAATGCCGCTTTAAAAAGTCGCCGTTTTGGTTCATGAGCGACGCTGGAATCAGAATTGCTGCTTAACACTACACAAAGTCGTCACATGACGAAATAGTTGCACCGTCCGAAATGCGAAATGATCAAGCAGCCTCACCAAGCACGGCTTGTTGCGAGGCACTGGTCCGCCATCCATGTAACCCAGAGCATGAAATAGGTTTTCCAGTGTCAGATTTCTGGTGGGTAGTTCTGAATTGGAAGTACAAGTTTTCCATACGCAGATTGTATATACTAGAAATATGGTTTTTGAGCACTATGGAAAACGATGGAATTTGTTTCAGACACTGCAGTTAAAGACATGGACCATAGCTGTGATACGAAGCAAGAAATTATCCACCTTGGCGATGCAGTTTGTAACATCAAAAAGAGTGAAAAAAGTGATAGCAGAGCGATGGGGAGGGATTTTTTGGACGCATTAACCCGGCAAGAGCTCTTTCTCCCGCATTGATATAACCCCAATATGCCGTGAGATAATGCAGGGGTGGGAGGGAGTTTGCAACGTGCCATTTATGGTTAAGATGTGGTCGCTGACCGAACCTGTTTTTGCCTTTTTGCTTTCATGCGACGTTTTAGATTTTAATCCAATCAACTTGCTCACCGACTTAAGTCCGTTGCGCTGGCCACTCACGCACTAAGGCGTACGCCTTAACCAGCTTGACCTTTGGCACGGCCAGTAAGTGACACTTTAGTGCGAATGATAGTTCCGAAACGAAAACATTATTTTTATCGTTCACTGTATGTCAGGGATCATTGTGATCATTGTGATCATTGTGAGGTAGCGTCTGGAGCAGCTGAAGGCACGGTGAGGTAGCGTCTGGAGCAGCTGCAGCCACAGTTAGGTAGCGTCTGGAGTAGCTGCAGGCACAGTGAGGTAACGTTTGGAGCAGCTGCAGCCACAGTTAGGTAGCGTCTGGAGCAGCTGCAGGCACAGTGAGGTGGCGTCTGGAGCAGCCTCAGGCACAAAGGTGGTGTCTGGGGCGGCTGCAGGAGTGATGAAGGAGAGCACGTGAAGGTGTCACGAGAACCGGACCGATGCATGCTCTTCATGTTGGAGGCAGGGAGATGCATGACATCACGTATCTTTGCCACCCTCTGTCCTGCGCGATGGAAGTGGAAAGCCCGGAGTCCAGGCACCTCCCATAGCTATTTCGTCATCTTCAGAGACGATGTCCAGCATTCGGTGTTTTACGCCAGGTTCAGGGAGCGGAGTGTCACAAAAGTAGGCCGAAACATAGCGCTGTCTATGCTATTGATGGCCGGTGTCGATCACCGTGGTGTGCGGTGAGCTGTCACGGAGCGGTATGCCCTTTCAGGAAGCACGCCGAGAAGCCAGCACGCGTGTATCCTGACAAGTGCAGAATCGTAAAGACAACCATCACCGACGTCTGGATGACTCAGATTCTGGTGGCTAGATTCTGTTCACAGTTGTAGAGCTCGTTATAACCCCAGCATCTAACAGTCGTGGAGTTGTCACCGCACCGCTCCAAACATTGTTTTGGGATGTTAGAAAAATCGTTAGGGTTCGTAGGCGTAACCCCGCCCTTGAATGTCGGTAGAAAACTCACGTTGGGCACATTGGATAATAGGCGTCCCGTGAGCACAAGACCCGAAGTAAACGCCCATATGTGTTCTCAGCGTTTGCAACAGCCCTCTCGTCACTTTCACTGTGGAAGCATTTTTTATGCGTGCATGAGCCCCCGCCGTCAATTGCGGGATATACGTCAGATGGGGCGCGCCCTAGGTAGCACGTGAGTACAGGCCTCCGTGTCACTGTCACTACCCCCTCCCCCCCCAAATAAACGTCACGCCGAAAGCCGAGTTTCCGCCAAAGCTCCTGTCCGGAGCCCCTATCCGCCGGTCCAGACCATCCCCGGCCAGAGCCGGAGACGCGCAGCGCCACGTGCAGGCCCCCGCGAGGTTCAGCTGAGAGGCCGCGCGTGGAGTTGTGGAGTTTCCTCCCACCTTCTCGCTCTCTCCCCTCCGTTCGGCTGACAGGAATGTGTCGCAGCAGGGAGGAGGCCGGGAAGCGGGCAGATGCGCCACCAGCGCTCCTTCAGCGCATTGCGCGGGTGCTGCTGCGCCTGTCACGCGCGCGTCAGCGGCCACCGCCTCGTTGTATGTCGGACCTCCAGTCAGACAAACGCCGACTGTAGGTCGTGCGCGCTGATAACGGTATGGCGTGCGGTCGCCCGCCGTCGGCTAACCGAACACGCGTTCAAATGTCAGCCATCTCAACACCGCCGTGATAAGATAGCTCCAATCTGTATTGACGCGGACTCCACAGCACACAGCACAGCACACAGCCGTCACAGCCACCACGGCCGTCACAGGCATCACAGCCGTGACAGCCGTGATGGCCCACCGGCCGGACCGGTCTGCAGCTAGTCGGGCCTCCACTCCTCGTCGCTGCCGTCCGTCGGGCCGCCGCTGGACTGGTCCGACGGCGAGGCCGGCCGCCGGCCCCGCCCCCGGCCCCGGCCCCGGCCCCGCACAATCTCCACCGTCAGCTGGTTGAGCCGGGTGCGCCGCCGCGGCCGGGGCGCCGCCGGAGAGACGGCGCGCCGGCGGCCGGGCGGCGGCGGCCCACTCTCGGGCCGCGGCGTCGTCGCCAGGCGCGTCTCCTCGGCAGAGAGCGGCGCCGGGTTCCGGTGGAAGGTCTCTCGATGCACCTGCGGCGGGGTGGAGCGTGTGGACGAGGCGCGGTAGGGCGCGCCGCTCGGGCACTATGTCCTCACTGGCCCACACACCACCAACGGTGCCAGACATCGATGCATTACACTTAATCTCGCGCGAAACTCTACGCGATATGGCATAAAAATGAGGCAAATACGCGAGTACCCAAGCATAAAAATGAGGCAAACATAACGCTGAAAATATGCGATGCAGAGTAACAAAATGCGCAAGGAAGTGTGATTTTAGGTAGCGGTAGTTAACCCTGCGCTAAAAACGAAACGACCGACGCAGGTTCGTCTTGACTACGGAACGTGCAATGACGCGTAACTAATGGCTTCAAAGCATGCTTTCCCGAACAAGTTATTTACGCGAACGACGATGCGGCCGGAACAGCGCGGCCACCCACCATCAAGTTCTTGAGGTTGATGAAGCGGCGGGGGCAGACGCCGCAGTAGACGCGCTGCTGGCCGTGCGACTTCATGTGCCGCTCGAGGTAAGCACGCAGCGCGAACCGTTGTCCGCACACCTCGCACACCTCGTCCCTGGCGGCTGGGGCGAGCCGGGTCAGCACGGAGCGCGGGTGGAGGCGGGGCGCACCGCCGTGACGGAGCGGTCCGGGGCGGGGCGGCACGCTCGCCCCAGAGCAAGCCCCTCCGGCGTTTACGAGCTATGACGTCGGCGGACACGCAGCCACGGGCGAATCACACCACGAACGCACATTATCCGCTCTTTAGTACGTCCGGTACGACTCAGGCCCGCCTCCAGCTGCATCACTACGACGTGGGCAGGGCGCCGCCGCTGCCCGAGCGGCGGAGATAACCTGTCGCGCGCCCACTCTCACCGGTGTGTATCTTCAGGTGCTGCCGGAGCCAGGCGGCCGTTTTGAAGCTGCTGTGACAGGTGGGGCAGGCGTGCGTGGACGCACCCCCGCCGTGGTTCTGTCGGCGGTGACGGGTCAAGTTGTCCGCCCGGCTGAACTGGGACGGACACTCCGGGCAGGAAAGCCTGGCCGACACGGCACGTGTCAGTCCTGAAGACGGACAGCACACAACTGGGACGGACACTCCGGGCAGGAGACCCTGGCCGATACACGGCACGTGGTCAGCCCGGCGGACGGACAGCACAACTCGGACAGACAGCACATACTGGCACATAGCAGACGACAAGGTAAGGACACCCTCGCCGAACGCCAGCAGACACTGCTGCACCACGGAGCACTTGGCAACCGGACGGTGGAGACCTGGCGGGACATCCAGCGAGATCAACACCACGTCCAGCTGCGGATGTCGGCCCTCTCCCATCCATCCTGGTGTGACCTCACCGCCCTCATCCGCGCCCGTGTACACCCCTGAGCCGCGCCATCCCTCGCACCGGCGGCCGACCCACCTGGCCTGGGAGCGGTGCGTGCGCTGGTGCCGGCGCAGGTCCATCGGCAGCAGGAAGGAGCGCGAGCACACGTCGCAGACGGCGCGCGCCGCCGTGTGTCGGCGCAGGTGACCCTTGGCGTTTGTGTAGTACCTGACGACGGCCGAGCGCAGCCTCAGCGACGCACCTCGGACCACACGGCACGCCGAGACGCACTCAACACTGGCCAACGGCTGACATGGCTAACAGCTGGGCTGGTTCTGTACGGGAAGGCGGTGCACGACAGAGTCAGTACTTACAATATAGTATGGTACACTACTCGGTACAGCACAGAACAGCACAGCACTTGGTACGGTACAGTACAAGACTTAGTACCACACCTGGTAATTATATTACTTTGCTTTAGATGTCTGGAATAATACGCACAAATTAATCCCTAAGCCGCTCCTCCTTTTCAATTTTCGCCTATAACTCCGATGATTGCGCCAGCCGCGCAGACTGTATTGCAGACATGCTGGTTTAAATGCTAGACACTGCGCTGGTAAGACTAGTTCCTCACGACCGACCGGCAGCCGACCACGACAGCCAGGCTCAAACAGCGACCACGGTGTCATGACACCGCATGACAGCTTGATGTCATGTGACAAAAATTGTCTGCTGCACTGGCGTTATTTTACCAGGGAGATACTTCGGTGCGGGTATTTGCCACATCTTATGTGCAGCAGGGGCTCTGAAATCAGAGACATCACTGCAAAGCGCAGTCAAATTACCAAGATACACTCCTGCACCAACGCAGCCACGCAGTGCAGCCGTTTTTCAGGCCGCCTCTGGCTGAGCACATGTGCGCCGTCCGACTCCAAGCGCTGAACAAAGGTGCTTCTGACCTGAATGTGGCCTGACCTGAAGGTGTCTGACCTGAAGGTGTCTGACCTGAAGGTGGCCGAGCAGGCCGAGCAGTGGAAGGGCGTCTCGCCGGTGTGGGAGACCAGGTGGCAGCGCAGGTTGCCCTTGGACGACAGTACTTTGCGGCACGTGCAGCACGGGAAACGAGACTGCGCCTTATCCTCTTTACTCCTGGGCAACGCGTATGCTAGGTCAAGCTCAAGCCCACATGTGTATCACAACCCATAAACGCATGGTGGGTGAAAAACAATGGCGAAAGTTCTAGACAAGCTCGCATAAGACTTAACCAATAACGTGTCACTGTGAGCTACATACGTCCTGGACGATCGATTTGGGAACAAGGGAAATGGTCAGGGTACTACACTAACAAACAGACAGCAAATGAAAACTCCCCTCTGAACCCTACCCGCACTCAAAGACCGCCCTCTGCCAGCGTCTTTCACGCGCAAAGCCCTGCCTGTCGACCCCTTACCTATGCCCCAACCAATCAGGGCCCAGCCGTCAGCCACCCTGACCAATCGGCGCCCACCTGGCGGCGATGGCCACCTCCAGCAGGGAGACAGTCTTGGGCGTCGTCTGTGCGTTGAGACGGGTCAGCACGCGCGGCTGAAGCACCTTGCCGCGGCCGCCGGCCCAGCCGCTCGCCGGCGCCGACCAGCTGCGTCTGGGGCCGGGCCGAGCGCCGTCCGAGCCGGGCTGGCGTCTCTTCCGGGAGGGTGGTGCCGGTCCGGCCGCCGCGCCACCTGACGGCCCTTCGGCAGGGCGGGCCTCCGCGTGCTCCTCGACGCCGACCGGCGAGGCGGGGTCGTCCTCGGAACGGGGCGGCAGGGCTGTCGCCGCGTTCTCCAGGCGGAACGCTGACCCGCCCCACGGCTGGACAGCTGCGCTTGCTCTGCGGCGCACCGACGGACCCCCCTTCAACCGGACAGAGGCGTCTACTTCTGCGGTGACCGTTCGGTCGGCCTCGGAGGGGTCCTCCGAGGACGACCGCCGGTCCGACCTCGGCCACACCGGCGGATCTTCGCCCCGACAGGCCAGTGGGCCGCCGCCCAGCCGCAGGGCCGCGTCTCCCTCCGCGCAAAGAGTCGACCCGCCTCCAGCTCCGCCCGGCGTTGCACCAACCGCGCAGCCCTCGCCCAGATCTTCCCCAGAGCTGGGCGTTCGCTCGTCGGTGTCCCTGGGATCCCGGCGCGGGAGGGCAGCGTCGGTCGCCCGGTCGCCGGCGCGCGGGGTCGCCGCGATCTGAGCCGAGGTCGGCGGCGGCGCGGGCGGGAGAGCGACCGGTGGCGCCGGCTCTGCAGCGACCCAGCTGCCGGCAGCGGCGGCCGGCCAGATCGGCGGAGGCCGGCGCGTCATCAGCAGCACGAGCGGCGCCTGGGCTGCGGCGGCCCTCGCCAGCGGCCGGAGCTGCTCGCCGGAGCCGGTGGCGGGCGGCAGCGGATCGGCCCCGGCGCCAGGGCGGGGCTCGGCGGCGGCCGCGGACGGCGGCAGGGTTTGCGGTGTCTCCTTCAGACCAACGCCGGGCCGCCTCCGGCGCCTCCGCGGCGGCCGGCCGGTGGCGGCAGACGTCCGCAGCGGCGCGATGGGCACCTTGAGCCCAGGCGGCACCAGCCGTACGGCCCGCGGCAACGGCACCGGCATCGGTACCGGCGGCGGCTGCGGTGACGGGGGCGGAGGGTCAAGTGGAGGCGTCGGTGGCGGCGGCGGCTGCTGCTGGGTGGGCGGCGGCGGCAAGGCAGGCCATAACTGCTCGGCGCTGAGCAGCGGCAGCGCCACCTGGTCACCAGCAAGACACACTAGGGCGCCGGAGAGCAGCAGCGGCGGCTCAGCCGGCGGCGCCTGCCCCTGCCCCTGCCCCTGCTCCTGCTCCTGCTCCTGCTCCTGCTCCTGCTCGTGCTCTGGCTCTGGCTCTGGCTCCGGCTCTGGCTCTGGCTCTGGCCCTGGCCCTGGCTCCGGCTCCGGCTCCGGCTCCGGCGGCGGCTCCGGTTCGGCCGCCGGCACTGGGCTCAGCTCGGCGGCTGCCGGCTGGCCCTGCTTGATGCCCGGCCGTGCCAATGGCAGCCGCCGGAAGAACTCGAGCAGCTCGGCGTCGTACCGCTCCGTGGCTACCATGTCGAGCAGGCGTCGCAGCTTCTGGCGCCGCTCGGCGGTGGCGGCGGCCAGCGGTGGCGGCCCGTCGGCAGCGGCGCGCCCCTCCGGTGGCAGCACGTGCACCTACGCGGCAGCCAGGCCCGGAATTAGCGCCAGCGCACGCACACTAACAACATTTTGCATCGGGTTGTTAGGTCCCAAACTTCAGAGCATGTTTAACCTTCTGACAATAAAAAGAAGTGATAAGTGATAAAAAGTAATAAGTGAGCACGCTCTGCCAGGCTCTAAACAGGGAAATGAGAGCGAGTGGCCCATCGATTGGCCACATTACACACTTTATCATCATTGGATCTCCGTCGGTGTTGCTTCATCAATGGATGCAGCTTCGTCTTCGAGAAATACCGCCGCACAAATAAAGCTTCACAGCAAAAGCATGTGAAGCAGGAACAGCCACAGGCAAACGTCACTAACTCGCTACCGGTCTAAACCACACAACGCGAACCAACTCACATCCAGGATGTCCTTTTTGCCACGGCCAGTGATGGGAGCCAGCTGGACGCCGTGCTTCCGCTTCAGATGTCGCTTCAGGTCCACGCTGTGGTTGTACTGGTGGCCGCAGAGCGAGCACACCCAGCGCTTCCAGTTGGCGTGGCGGCTGACCAGATGGCGCTGTAGGTTGTCCACCGCGCGGAACGACGCGGCGCAGAGCGGGCAGCGGCGCGGCGCCGCACCAGAGCTTTTGTGGAACGTCGCCAGGTGTCTCTGCAGGGCGCCGCGCCGGGAGAACACCGCGCCGCACGCATCGCAGAGGATTGTTTTGGGCTCGCAGAGGTGAACGGTGGATACGTGAATGGCTAGCCGGGACTGCGTGGGAAAGGGAGCGCAGCAAAACCGACAGAGATGCCTGCAACAGCAAGTTGAGAGAATTAGGCCAAGTTGGGAAACACATGGGTGCCCAGCAATGTGACGTGCAGCTCACCAGGATGATTACAAACAATTTGGCAGAGCAGCTCAGGATAACTTGAAATGAGCAGCAATCAGTGTTCTCACAGCAACAACATGAAACACTTACTCTTTCTTGGTGACACATATCCTATTGAGGACGTGTTTCTGGAGAAGCTTGCTCCGTTGGAATGTGCGGTTGCAGTCTAAGCACCTTCCACCTTCTGTATCAATGTGGGAGTCAATCAAATGTCTGCAACAAGGCCAATGATGAGCACACCAAGTGGAACACGCACGCACGCACGCACGCACGCACGCACGCATGCACGCACACACAATTACATCATACATGCATCACAGCTCAATCAAAATGCCACAAATAAATCACGCTCAGATCAACTATTGCCCAAATATTCCAACTGAGACCTAATATCATTTAAAATTGTATCTTATGTCAACTTATCTGCTCCTTGTCGGTCAGCCAAAAAAATGTTCCCAACATCGGAACAATCATCTCCAAGGTAAGGATCAGTATCCAAGCTTTTAGACTGCTGGGATGTTTAAAGTTGTTAAAAGGTGCTGATTGTTTCAGATGGAAATGTCAAGAACAGACATGAGAGAGCAGAGCTGATGATGTCAGCCCTGTCAGCCAAGAAACTTTCACTAATTTGGGACAATTCCCATGATGTTCAACCAGCATGAGAAACTACTTTTCCATACAGAGAGACACTGGTAAGTGAAGCAATCCTCAAAGATTTGTAACTCAGCACCTCACATGACAGAGTATGTGAGACTGTCCAAAACCACACTCACAGATGGCATAGTAACCAAGCAGTGCTCAATGAGTTCATGCTTATGGTGCAAAACATTGAAGTCATACATACCTATCAAGTCTTGATGCTGACATGAAGGACAGCTGGCATTGCTGACAGCTGAAGGTAGTTGTAGTGGTGGTTGATTTGGCAGGCAACTGCTTTACAATGCCAATACAAACCAGTTGAGGAAGTGCAGTAACAGCTGGATCCATTTCAAAAATGCCTGCCAGCACATCAAGGGTAGCTTATCCTTTTCCTAAAAAGAATATCAATTTAATGCCTGTCATTCAAGACAAGTGATCATGACCAGTGACAGTAAATTAATTAAACACATCCCTCATCCCTAGAGCTCACAGATCATATCATCTGTATGTCACAGAATGTGTACACCACATACACATCATACCATATCCTACCATTACAAATCATATCACCACATGAATAGGCATGGCAAGTGTCACATGATCAGAGATGCTTCAAAATAGTCTGCAACATCTCACCTCAGAGGAAGCCAATGACAGGCCAGTTAGTAAACATGGGCTAGTAAACACCTTCATCATGCTAGAAATTAATCTGTTTCGACCATGTGTTGATGGCACCTTTCATCAAATGTGACAAAAGCTTGCCATGAGAACAAACTTTCCATAAAATATCATTCTGTGAAGGTAAATTTAGGCAAAAGTTCTTACAAGGCATTTTTCATGAAAAATATTCGTCCCTCTTAGCCTAGCCTGAGTTCAGGTCGTATAAACACAAGAATCAGTTCACTTACACCCCAGACATCCAGAGCAGTGAAATAAAGTTTTGCGGACTAACCTGCAGCGGTACTTGCGAGTTAAGCTAAAAATTCCTTGCCCTATCCTGTTTCGGGTACGCTTCGTCCAGAACGAATAAACACCAATGCTGAGCGTATTAGTCTTGATTGCCCCCATAGCGTCATCCTCGTAGCAGCAGTTTGGCAGCTTTGTTGCCCGTCTTTCGAAGCAATGAAAAGATAGTTAAAAGTAGGCGTCAAGGTGTGTGGGCGCATAATATAATAATTAGCATAAGAGCACCACCAATAAAGCGTGCTCCAAAACGTAGCCAAGTGCCTTCCCCGAGGCGCGCAGTCAGAGCCTTGGCAAGTGGGGAGATATACTTGACAAAGGGCCCCTCGTCAGCGTAAGTCCCTCGAAAATCGGCGGAAATTGCGTATTTCTTAATAAGGGCATGCTTTCCTAAATACTTTTGTCTATTTACCTCCTATAGCTGGAAAAGAGCCAGCATATCAATGGTATCATATCAAGGACATCAATTCTGCATAACTTGAACAGTCAATGAACTGAACAATTGCCTTAAAATATAATGAATTGCTTTGAACGACCGCAAGAAATGAATCGTAGGTGCTCCTGATTTTACGATAGTTCAGTGAACTCTTTCTTATCCTCAGAAGCTTTTTCATAATTTTATATCTGATTTCTACAGATATATCAAGGACCGCACGAATGTAGATTGTACATCGGAAAGGGTCAACATGTGAAAGGCTTGGTAGTATGTAGAAAGTAGCATGGTATATATACATATATATATATATATATATATATATATATATATATATAGCAAAATATAGGTAGAAAGTAGCATGGCCAAGCGCGGATGTCGACTTGTATCCTTTTAGGTGGGCCACTCCCCCACCCCCTCAATGTCCAATTCCCCCCCCCCCACGCACACACACACACCCACAATGGTGAGTTCGGCCTCCCCAACCTTCTGGCACCGAAGTTAAAGCAGAGCACAAACAATGATGGATAATTAACGTCATTATATCAATTAGAAAGACGGGCTCCAAAGAAAATGAAAATTGCAGTCTATTCAGTTGATAATTTTGTTCTGTTGTAGGCAGGATGCATAATTTTGGTTGCATGATTAGTATATCTTGTTGACTTTGGCTTCATGGTGTGCTGTTGTGTGTTTTGGCATTAATTAGCAATGTTTCATGTTTACAGACTGTAGCAAATTTCGTGGTTTTGTTTCGAAATTATAAAATAAACAAACTAGCCGAAATTAGGACGCGAAAGCGCGATCCGGTCATTAGCCGTTTGCATGCGAAAGAACCGTTGAAATGTGCTGACTTCCACATGGACGCGAATACCCGATGAAACCGTTACGAGAACTTAACGATCGACACCAACCGACTAAACCGATGGCAGCAATTTCCCAACAACATGCCTAATGCGAGTGCCGGCTTGCTGCCCGCCTTGCCCCGCCTTGCGGCTATCACACCAGGATTTCCGTGGCAGCCTTTAACAGCCCCGCACATGAACTTTCACTCTTTACTCCCGAGGCTGTATCCAGCTGAGAACATTTGAAGCCAAATAACATCGGCCTCCCGTTGATTACCGAAACCTGGTTTTGACGATCGACGCCAAACAAACTGCTAATGATATCCAATGTCAGCATCTTCCACCAAGAAAGAGCGAGGAAACGCATCAGAGCTGGAATGTAGTTTTCTATTGGGTGGGGGGGGGGGGGGCTGGTGACTTCAACTTCATAATGTTGGGAGAAAAGTAGGTCGAAGGCGGGGAAAAATCCATTGTTGGGTGTACTTATGGTTAGGTCTTCCCCTCTCAGCTCCCAGGCCTATTTTGCGAAACAACACCCCTGTGGTGGAGTCAAATTTCAAACAAAAGACACCAGATTACACCACCGTCTGACCTGGGGCGCGGGCCCACTCCCCAGGCAGAGATTAGCCCACTAACAGTGTCATGCAATGCGCGCGTGCCCATCCTCGGCACGCGGTGATGGATACGTTGCATCGGGCTGCATGGCTGTCACGTACGAGCGGAGCTGAGAGTTCCAGCCCGCCCGGGATGGCAGCCCGGCAGTCTGTTGGGCGTGGCCGGCGTCCGTCAGCGACGAGGGCGACCACCACCGCTTCGGCATCACGTCTGTTGCCCCGAGATGAGACGTCTCTGCCGCAGCATCGGCGGTAACGGCGGTCCATAAGCATCAGCGCCGGCAGACTGCTGTGCACACGCTTTGCAACAAAACAGCTTTCAGCATATTCTAGTGTGCAGGAGCAGATGACAGAATGCTGACAGAGGACTGCGATTCCGATTCAATCCTTGCTATGCTATGTTGGGGACATAGCTAGAGATCCTATGTCATCCGCACGTCCGGCGTCAAGAATTTTGCATATGCCACATATCTTTTGGCCAAAAATGGGCTGAGGGACCCCAGATTTCGGAAGAGAGATATTCTGCGGTAGTTGGGAACGCGACCAGATAGAGTTGGAAGCAACGCGCTTCGATAAAACGACCTTTCCGTGGCGTACCACGAGATCAAGTAACCGGGAGCATGCTTTATATATTTTGAATGAGTTCGAGTGTTGAGTCTCAGCTCACTTCGTCATACTTTCATATCACCTGATCGGCACACGATCTTATACAACAGCTTGTTTGCAAAGCTTGTATTTTTATGCGGGTACTGCCAGACTCATGACTGGAAACAATAAAATAAGAAGGTAACAATAAGAAAGGACACATACTAAACCCAGCAGCACAAAAACGCAATCGCATTGGGCAACGCTGAACTTGATCGAGAGATTACACAGCAGTTCAGAGAGATTACACAGCAGTTTGTCAGCAACATATCTGACGAGAGACTGGAGAAACGTACGGGGACAGCCCCGACCAAGTCCTCTACACGAACTGAATACTGCGCCGCGGCTGCAGAGCGGCCAATGAGATCGGAAGGCGACCTTCAGTCACCCCTGCCCTGCCCCCTGCCGAGGGACACCGACCGGGCCGACGAGGCCGGCCGGGCCGGAACCCGTGGCATGGGACACGACACCACTGCAAGGCCCGGGCTGCAGTACTACTGCCCGCCCGCCTCCACAGCTGTAGTGCAGCTGCCCGCGCCACACGCGCACGCTGCCAGGCAGCCAGGTCAACGACTCCCACTGCGACTCAATTATTGGAATTATCTCCCCCTTTGTCTCTTGGCATCGCCATGGGCGCTGCCTAAGTTGGGGCACAATGTTTGAAACATCAACCACAGGTTATTACGGTAATTACGTCTGTCTCCGTCTCTCATAGCGTCTCCCCCCCCCCCCCCCCCCCAGAAAAAAACACTCAAAAACACGCGCGGTACAAACGGCCGCGTGCCGCCACCCAGTGACTAGAAGAGAAAGGGCGATGGCGGCGACGCACCGCCAGGTGGTAGGCTCGGCGTCCCGCCGCCCGCTCGCCCGCCCGCCACACTACCGACCCTGTAATCCTGACGCCGGGTCACAATCGGGACCTGGGGCCAGCACGGCCACCAGCGTCCCGAGCACGCGCACCCGCACACTGCCACACCCAACTGTATGTACACTGTACACGATCCACACGGAGGATCTCCTTCACACGTGCTCTGAGGGCATCCCCGCCTCTCACCAACACACGGGGTGCGCGCCGTCTGTACAAAATACAAGAGTGCCAGGGACCAACCGCCGGGCGGCAGGCCCCAAGACAATCCCCAGTCACACCGGTCGGGCCAGGCCACATTCTTTGGTCCGATCTAGGCTACATGTACGCATCAGGCGCGCCGGGGCCACCGTGCCAGCCGGCGCCGGGGCGGGACAGGCTGGCGGGTGACATATTGCAGTGGTGCACTGGCAGCAAGCGACGCTCCCAGCGGCCGGCGCGGCGGCCGGGCCACTCTTAGCGGCCGCCGCCGCGTCGGCGAGTAACTAGAACCGCGTCAATGGTCGGCGACTACGTCACGAGGGGGCGCCACGCGTCGGGCCGTGCGCCGCGCGAGCGTTAAAAGCTCTGCGCCACGTGTCGGAGCGCCGAGGCCGCCGGCGTGGCGTGTGTGATGAAGAAGACGAGCCGCGTCGGCAGGACTCCCGAGTTCAGCTGGTAGAACTCGACCAGCTGCAGCAGGTCGTAGAAGCGCGTCTTGCCGCCGTCCAGCGAGTAGTAACAGGTGGGCGGCGTCTGACTCGTGTCCTTCACCTGCCGGCCCGTCGTGTCGACACAGTTCAGTCGCTAATTGGGACAGATTGGGAAGGAAAGCAGGATTTGGACTCACGATAGGCACTCATGATAGGCCCTTACGAGCGGGAATGATGAACTTTCGCAGAAACAGAACGCCAAACACTGGTTTGAGTACAGCCCAGGCTCGTTCGGGAGGAGCCCCGATCCTTACACGGCACGGGCACACGAGAAACGCTTTGTTCAGCTGCATGGGCTATGCTTCAGCTAACTGGGCCCATCCCAACAACAATCAGTCAAAATTGCGGATTTTTGACAACATGGTGAGGCCGAATAGCCACGAAGGTTCGGTGGCCACAGGACCTGACTGCCAAACAGCCGACGAGCGGTACCCCAACGTGCACGCGATAGACCTCTTTTCAACATGATCAAAAGAACCAGACTTCATTCGGGTTATGGTTCACAATGACGGCGTCGTCCTATTAGCCCAGAAATGCGAACGGTCAGGATGGCCTACATCGCGCAAGCTCTTCCCTTCTCTAACTAAACAAACACATGAGGGTAATGAGTGGACAGAACTGTCTGCAGATGAAAGCTGACACTGACAAATGCTGTGTTTATCTATTTAATTGGGTTCAATGGGAGGTGCACTCGTGGCATTAATGAGGATCGCGGTCCTCTCAGGCGCCGAGTCATGTCGGCGGTACAGAGGAAAAATTGAAAAATAAACCTTTTATAGGATTTATTTTCGTCGATGCACACTTCCCTTACGGATAGAACATTGTAGCTACTAAAAGCATCGGGTTCTTCTGGTTCTAAAATTGCAGACGTGTACCTGATATAAGATCGTAGCAGGCAGGATATTCCATGTGAGCTTACCGGCATGATCTGGGCGTGGTAGAGCTTCATCCGGTACGCGAACGACAACACAAACGCCACTGGGTTGCTGCGACTCTCACGAACCAGGAACACACTGAATTGAAAGATGCAAGAACCGTGTTTTCAGTAATGACGCATGATGTTGAGCAGTTCACAGTAAGAGGTTTTAACCGGAATCAACATCTATGGACGACAAACACACGACCCGCAAGAAAATGGTCACTGGCGGTAACCAAAATTTTATTTTACATTCTGAGTCCAAGTCTTATAAGCTCCAGACAAGATCCCGCCCACGTTCGCTAGAACTAGTCGTCTGAGACTCCCAGCATGATGCTACACAGTAATAGCACAGTAATAACCATACCCATATAATACCACTACATCGGCAACACCCATGTTAAATTACCAACAGACGTGCGCAATGGAAAGAAGCGTATCAGCTGTAAAATTGCACAGACTCGCAGGCAAACTGGACAACCTAAGGTAAACTGGGTAAGTTACGGGCAAACCCATCGAACGATTCTTTTTCGTGACACGCAAGCGTTCATCAGCCGAAATCAACGCTTCTTTTGCTTGCGCCGAAGATGTTATCGCTAGGCCACACCCCGGCCGCTCACACATGTGGATTTAGTTTAATGCGATGTACAATGCCCTTCTTCGTCGATACACACTCTGGGCAGAGCCGTTGCCGATGCAGTACTATTGTATATTCACGTCTATGGTAATAACAATACCATACACTTCTGGGCTCGTTCGGAAACCCTCTACGAGCCCTCAAACAACAGAGCCCACGATGTACGGGGTGATTGCCGCAAGAGCCGCGTCGGTGACGTAGGCAACACCGAGAGCGGGCTCCGGACTCCGGACTCCTCCCTACCCCTCCCCTTCCTCCCACGCCGCAGTACTCACCCGTCCCGGCCGTTGTGCTTATGGAGCAGCTGCGAAGCCTCCTCTCGGTTGAGCGTGCCGTGGAACCAGGGCTGCATGGTATGGATGGCGCCCTCTATGTCACGCACCGATGAGCCGGAGGCCAGCTCTGCGGGCGGCGCGGCACAGGTCAGCGGCCTCGTCCGGGTCCCCTGACACCCCGCATGGGGCCCGGCCCAGGCAGCGGCGGCGGCGGCGGTGGGACGCGCCACGTGATCGCATGTCCACCAGAGCCGCAGAACACCGACCAGCCTCCCATGTTTATGCACCACCACGTGTTAGGCGCCCCCTCTACACGTGACCACGCTCACTTGGACTCGGTAAAAAACGACACTATGTTAAAATTGCTATGTTTTTACATTTGCTTTGCCGCATCTAGTCCCAAATCTTTCTCGGTTAATTATCGTTGAACGCAACAGCGAGGGAGTCTCTTATGAGACACGTGTTCAAGATTCCGCGCCTTACGTTACACTAAAGCATTTGCCACTCAAACAAAACTCACTCACAGCAGCTATGGCTCACTCACAAGAAGCTGGGAACAAAGCGGTCCGAGCTTCCTGTGAGTAAGCCATAGCTGCTTCCCTCTCGGCTCCGTTCTCGGCTGGTCACCGGAGCACCCCTCCCTCTCGGCTCCGTTCTCAGCCAGCCATCGGAGCATCCCTCGCTCCGGCTCCGTTCTCGGCCGGTCGCCGGAGCGTCCCTCTCTCTCGGCTCCGTTCTCGGCCGGTCGCCGGAGCGTCCCTCCCTCTCGGCTCCGTTCTCGGCCGGTCAACGCAGCGTCCCTCCCTCCGGCACAGCTCGGCCGTCCGTCGGCGAGCCTCACCTGAGAGCCGCTTGAGGGCGTTGGTGCGCCGCAAGTGGTGTCCCTCAGCCAGCTCGATAGCCTTGGCCTCGACCGGGTCACTGACCACGCGGCCGCAGCTGCCCGTGAAGTCCATGGCCACCAGCGAACGCATGCTCTGCTGCCGGGCGACAACAAACAGACACGGGGTCAGAGGGCGGCGCCGGGCGACGCCCCCTCCCCCTTCCTCCAGCCTCCCTCGCCCATCAGCGCTGACGGGGGGCGCGCCCGTGTGCGGTTTATGGACACGGCAATGGACCGCGCTGGCCGGACTTAGCGGGAGCACACATCAGGCTGCACTTGGCGCGTCACTGACACGCTGCAGCGGATCGCCGTCCACCGAGGCGCGTCATTTCCATGAAGATGAATGGGCGATCTTGGCTGCTGCTGCTGCCAGTTCACACAAACGAGGGAGGGTTGAAGCGAATGGTAACGCACCGTACAGACAGAAAGCCTACGGCTACAGGGCATACTAGTTCGAGATCGGCCCAATATCGGGCCTCAGTTTTCCGGCGTGTTTTTCTTGAAGATGGCAGGACGCTCGGATGATCGTAGTTTTCGGAACTCCTGTCAGACGCAAACAACCCACACCCCACAGACGGAGCATGCTTGTGGGGCATGTCATATTGCATGGCGGCTTTGCATTCCCTCGGGGTGTGCCGTTCACGGTCCAGAGCGTCACGTTTCGCATTAATTGACACCGTTCCGTCGCGATGCTTCGTGGCAAGGCTCGCACGAACAAGCTAGGGGCATGACTGATGGTCTCACTTTTCAGAAATGACCTAATTCAACAGCAATGTCGACACCTGGGCGAATCAATGAACGTGAATGCCGGCATGCGCACAAGCATGACACGAAAAGAATGCGTGAGTATGCCAATACTATTTGTTCCGTGATTTATAGACGCATGAAGCTGCTGTAACGACCGTTACCGTGGCCCGTCACGACACCAGCCCCGACATGACTAAGGCACGCCACGTGCACACTACCAACCGGAAACTAACTCTAGCCTCTACCAGGCGGAGCATCCGGTGGGATTTCGGCATTCGCATTTTGGAATGAGTAAAGGTATGCCGATATTATGTAAGGGAATTCCGAAATCTTACAGGACATCCAGTTCGCTTCCTGGTGAATTTACGGTGGTCATACCATGTTCACGTGAGCTGTCTGCTAGAATGCCAATCAAAAGAATGCAGTTTCAGGAGTTGGCATAATTGTTGCTAATCGCAGAAAATTTGTAACATTTTACCCTACAAGTGCAAGTTAGGCAGGCTTAGGGGTTTGCACCCAGCGGAAAATGACTTAGCACAATGGTGGGAGGTTACCGTATTTACTTCTGATTTTCGGGAATCTTGTTTTGCCAGTCATCGGTCTTTCAGTGCATTTCAGCAAAGTGACTGCCGCAAATACGTGCGAAGTTTGGTATACGGCTCTGACTCTCGTGACGCCATTCCTATCCTATTCGTCGCTTTGCACGTGCTATTTCCGCAGCGATGTCCTCCAGCCCTTGTTCGGAGAGCGTAGTACACCGATGCACCGGCGCACCGGAAGCGCACGCCACTGGGATGGCTCGCCTGGATTGCGGGCTCAGTATTTAACTCATGACAGCGTTCCTCCTGGCATGATCTGAGCTACTTGTATTAACTACAGCATATTTCTCGTTACATGGACGATTCATTTGGAAGGCTTTAACTAATCCCGGTTTAATATGCATTGCTAGTTAATTGTTTTATGTTCCGTTGACAGTGGCTGCTTTCGAATATTTATGGACCTTTTCGCAAACCACTGGAATGATCCTGGACACTCAATTGCTGGTTTCCATATAATATATCCATATATCCACATCGCCAAGTCCGAGCATCGCTAAGAATGGCAAAATATTCCGCACCTGTATGCTCAAGACTAGTGACAGCGCGAAAGACCTCAGCCGTTACATACAGTCAGTCATCGACCCATCAGTCGATAAGTCACCAACAACAGCCCGGGTTTATCCGGCTTTCTAGCCATTGATCAGACACAGGGGTACCGTGGCTAGGGTTCCAATGTTCCGGCTAAAACTTCATGTCTGAGCCATATATATATATATATATATATATATATATATATATATATATATATATATAACGTTCTTCAGCATTGGCTTTACTGGTGTGCATCGCAATGCCCGAAAGCCTGGGAGAATGTTTTGTCCGAATTGCCCTTTCCTGATGACACATATCGCCGACAAATGACGGGTCCGCCAGTTGAACTTTGGAGGCCGTGACCCATGATTCACGTATGACCCATGGCCCAGACCATGATGAAATGATACATTTCGTAATGTTCAACAGTCAGTGTTGTATGTAAAATGTCCTTTCTACAAGCGCACCGCCCACATTAAGTTCTAAACTTAACATCACCGGACTCCGTGCCGCTCAAGCAAGTATCTCAGTTCGCCTAGCCCACTCCAGCCTGCGATGAGGCGGTGCCACTCGCTTTGTCCGACCATCCCCTCCGCCAGGTCATCTCATCGCCGGCTCTCCCCTCCTTTTCCTCTTCCAGGCAATCACCTGCTTTTCCCCATGGCTACCCTAGAACTCTCAGCGGCTTTCCTCCGCATTACCACATTTTCGACGTCTCCCCTCGTCTCTATCTCTCCCTATCCACCTCTACCTCTATTCTCATACTCCCTCTCTGCCCACCTCTAGCGCTATCCTACCTGACACTGACTCGAGCCGAGACGACTCGGGTGCGGCCCAGACTGACTCACGTTGGGCACGCGCACCGAGTCGTACTCGGCCGGCCGGACGGACGAGGCACGCGGCAGGCTGCCGCCGCCGCCGCCAGCGCCGCCACCGCCGCCGCCGCCCTGGAGTCCAGCGTTGGAGAGCGTGCGGGAGCGGGGGATCGGCATCTTGGGGCTGGTGGAGTAGCAGTAGCGTTCGCGGGGGCTGCTGCTCTGCTCGTTCTCGTGCTGTATCCGCTGGAAGTTGTAGTTCTCGTGCAGCTGCTTGCCGTACTGCAGGTGTGGGGGGGGGGCAAGGGGTCAAGCTTGATACGGCTGTGTGTCATAGCGGCATAAATATTACAACGCATACTCAACAATGCCAAATAATCCCTGGCGCTTGCTTTTTACAAGAGCGCATTGATCGCTATGAACAGAATGTCCCCGGGCCGATGCTATTACTGGTCAACGCTTTATTGGCATTACCTTGGCGACACGCAGTGCGGTCTGCCAACAGCGGCGCGTGGCCAGATCGTCGCAGGCGAGGCAGCGCAGCTGCTGACCCGTGCGCAGGATGACGGCCTCGTCGCAGGGCGCCTTGAAGTCGCGCCGGGCGTCCGAGCACCCGTACACGGCATAGTTCTGCAGGTGCGCGAACACGGCGAACTTCTCCGGGTCACGCACCGGAGAGTCCTGGCGGATCAGGTCAGGTCAGGTCAGGTCCGGTCGGGTCAGGCCACGACACAGAACGGCGCCGCTCACCAGAGCGGCCCTGCCAGTCGGAGGCCGGACCACCGCCAGCCGCCAGCAGTGTCACCCGGGATGGGCCCCACGCCACTGACGGACGACAGTCGGCAGCGGGCACCGACTGAGCGCCGGCGACGCTCAGTCAGGGTGCAGCCGTGCCTCCCGACGCAACGGCGCTTCGCCACAGATCCGATTTGGGAGATGTGACTCATCAAATTATTTACGAGAAAGGCATCGACTCGCAAATTGCATTACCTTCTTCTGTCATCACTCTGAAGAGCAGGCCTTACACTACCCGGGGCAAAATCTCGCGCAAAAACGATGTTGGCAAAAAACCGAATGCGCAGCATTTCTGAGCCGCCGGAACATAAGTGATCCTTCCAACTGCCCTATGGGGCGAGTTGGAACGTCGGGGCGCCCGTGTTAACGTCAAAGGCGGCGGGTGGCAACTTCGCCCATATGGCGGTGGTGACGTCACTGACATCCGCGCCACCCCCGTTACGCCGCACCTCACTCGTCGCGACACGTATAAACACCGGCAAGAGTCACGACTGCAGCGCCGCGGTGCGGCGAACATGCGCGACCCGTTCCGAGATGGCGCGCGCCTCACCGCCGGCGACTTTGCACCGCACGCTGCGGTGGCGTCTTTGACTGCTCCCCGCACCTACCCCTCCCGAGCGGCAGCGACGGGGGTTGTTGGCGTAACGGTATGGTTTGCCTTCGGTCTAGTGCGGACAGACGAAACAAACGATTACGGGGATGCCGGCCAGTTAGTCGAGGGGAAGGGATATTCGTCATGTTTTTTATCGACATAAGATTCACTCCTCGCGGAGATTGCACCCATAAGCCACTCGTTTGTGTCTGATAGCTCTCTCCCGCCGTGTCCAGCTCCAGGTCTAAAGTGATCACTGCCGGGCCTACGGCAGACTACAGTCAGCAGGGACGGCGCCGCGGCCTCGAAGATGGATGACCTGGCTGACAAGCGATGGCGTGGCTTGTCCACGTTAGGCATGCCAGCCCTTTATTTGTTGGTGAGTTAGCGGGTTGGGACAACATCAGGAGAGGGGTGCGCTTACGTCCATGGCCTCCATGGTGTAGTAGAGACAGTCGTGACGCAGCCAGAAGTAGGCGCGCCGCCAGACGCGCGACTCGGGCCCGGCCAACCAGAGCCAGCCGAACACCTGCGGCGTCGGAGCCGACGTCGTCAGCAGGTTCTGAAACAGAGCACCGTCCGGTCAGGTCAGGTCAGGTCAGGTCAGGTCAGGTCAGGTCAGGTCAGGTAGGTCAGGTCAGGTTAGGTCACGCCGGCGCGACCGTCCAGTCCAGCGTGCTGTCACTGACGGCAAGAAGGCAAGAGGCGTCCACATCGACCGCATCGCGGGCAACCAAACAGCAAGCAATACAAGAATACCAGCTACCCCACACGTAGTGTATGTGCACAGCAGTAGGAGGCCACCAAAGCTATCGTACTTCACACAGCCTGCTTTAGCACATTGCGGTCGGTCGTATTCGCATAAGGGCCACACTGATAGACCAAAGGGAATGAACGCGTCAGGCGACAGGAGCATGACGAGCTCGCAAATCAGAACAGATAACCACTGAGGATGGTCTCCCCAGGCGGCCAAAACAGACCAAATAAAGCCAACACAACACAAGTCGTAATGCTGCAAATACCGCCAGAATCACATGTTGGGACAGCATCAGAGTTCGGCGAACACAGATGAACCATAATTTGATGATTCGAGACGCGAAGGGGCTCGGCTGAACTGAACCGTCCACCTCCCGTGAACTCCTGCGTGTCCCGCGTCCATGACATCAACACTGACGGTCAGGCGGAGGGGCTCGGCTGAGGTGAATTGTCCACCTCCCGTGAACTCCTGCGTGTCCCGCGTCCATGACATCAACACTGACGGTCAGGCGGAGGGGCTCGGCTGAGGTGAATTGTCCACCTCCCGTGAACTCCTGCGTGTCCCGCGTCCATGACATCAACACTGACGGTCAGGCGGAGGGGCTCGGCTGAAGGTGAATTGTCCACCTCCCGTGAACTCCTGCGTGTCCCGCGTCCATGACATCAACACTGACGGTCAGGCGGAGGGGCTCGGCTGAAGTGAATTGTCCACCTCCCCCCCCCCCCGCGAACTCCTGCGTGTCCCGCGTCCATAACACCAACACTGACGGCCAGGCGGAGGTGTCACGTGCAAAGGGACATGACCAGCACAAGTCACGCAGGGTGTGTGGGTACGACCGTCACGACAGGCTATTCAGCCCCTCGCGCCTCACAATATCGACTCGAGCCTCGTCGTCCCCATTGCAATCGCCCACACCTATATCCGGTCAGGGAGAAAACCTTCAATCAAGCGTTCGGGCCTCGTCGTCCCCATTGCAATCGCCCACACCTATATCCGGTCAGGGAGAAGGCCTTTAATCAAGCGCCATGTCTCCGCACAGAGTGCACGCACGTACGTCGAGAAAACGCCTTTGAAGTCATTTTGAACCCCTAAGGAGCGACACGCTTCGGGAAGGCCGCCACCCACGGCGCGCCGCCGCTTCCTGGAGCTCGCTGAGCCGCCGCTCACCGCGGCTCGACGCGGGCGGCGGCGGCCGCCGGTGCCTGACCGACCCGGCTTTCAGCCCACAGCGCAGTATGCTCGGAATAGCGCGCCGCCGCCACGCAGGCCGGCCCGGAAATTAACGCGCACCTGACCTTTGCAGGGGGCGGTGAGTAACGAGCAAGTCGTCGGCTGGCGCGGCCGCTCGCCACCAGAGCCGACGTTCCACCAATTTGGCGCTCCCCACCCGCAGCCGGGGAGTAGCCGAGAAGCACCGCTGCGGCCCCACTAGCGTGTGACCTTCTCGGCATGCCCGTGGCTGGCAGGTGTGTAGTAAGTTAATGGTGCAAATGCTGGTTCGCTTGGTGCCACAAGTGAAAATGGCACAGGCCAGCCTGACGTGCAGCTGTAAATGTGTTTTTTATTGGATAAAGGGAGTGTTTCACATTGGCAGTGCGTTTTAAACTGAAACAGCCATTCTGACGATCGTTCGGCGCAGTTGACAGCCCTGCCCATCTTAAGACCTAAACGCCTCTAGTTTCTGAGATACACGCCCGCGAAGATGTGCGTACTTTTCGGGGAACCATTTCAAGGTCACCCAGGCATCCCTGACGCCATAATAATGTCATTTAAATATCGCCATTCCCTTAGTCATACGGCGATCGAGGCCAAACGAATGTAATTGTCAAGTCGTTCATATCTGGCGTTAGTGAGACCGGTTTCCGGATACAACGGCCATCAGCTAGCTCTCAATCACTGTGCAAGGTTCGATGACACAATGAAACGATGACATATTCAGGGGCATATCTACTAGACAGAGAAATTCCGTTGTCTGGAGCATTGTTTTACAGTTAAAAGCATATCAGTGGTAATAGGTGAGCTTATTTCATCATATCTAATACTTGCTTCAATATCTTTCAACGTGGAAGATTCCCTTCAATTGCTTCTAAGTATTTACCACTGTTCAGTGACAGCGAAACATCAAGGAGTATACCATCACGACTGAAGAGCGAGCTATCACGTCCGGCTGGAACACACTAATCTTGCGGCCCAAGACCTTGGCTGCCTCCCACCGCATCCAGAGCCGCGGTCGGACGTTCCCCGAGTGGGGTACGGTAGGGTACCGTTCACCGCTCCCGCTCCTCCGGGGCTGTGCCGGTCCCGGCACGGCCCCATTCCCCGGCGCCGGCCGCGTCCGGTTGAGCGCGCGGTGGTGCGGCCCGGCACCAGTCCTTGGAGCGACGGCCTGGGGGCTGCCCAGACGATGGCCAGGTCCGTGACGAAGCACGTCAGGGGGTTCGCTTCATACGTGCATCAACAAGCGCCGTGACCAGAACCATCAACGGACGTAATCAGTAATTGGCACCACGGCGCCTTTGACGGAATCCAACCGGGAACGGTGCCAGCGGGAGCCGGCCCGGGCGCCGGCGGGTGGGAGACAGTCCGCAGGCCTGGCTCGGTGGGCCGTGCCTCAACTGTCAGCTGGGGCGGCGACAGAGCCATTGCAGCTACACGCTCTGCAGGCCACCCGGTCTCTGCCCTCTCTGGCTCGGCTACATAACGCAGGTCCACACCGCCAATCAATTCAATTTCCGTTGGTGGCCGGCGCGGTCCGGCCTCCCTCTCTCTCTCCTGCTGTCAGGCAGAGGCTCCGGGCCTCCGGCCAGACGCCGATGACGGCACAATGCGCTCGCGAAGGCATCTTTCGTCCACCCCACGGCGGCGGTGGCCTGTGCCACTATCGCAGAGCACGCACAGCTCACTGCCGGTGCGAACAGGGTCGTTGCCATCGCGCCGCAGTTCTTACGTAAGTGATATGTGTGCCCACTTAGACGGCTGTCCGTAAAACCCCGTGAAGTGCCACAAGCGCAGCGATCAATTTCTCCATGCCAAAACACTGTTTGCAGCCTGGGCGATGCTGCGTGGCACTGCACACCAGGAACGCTCATTAAAACGCATTTCAACTGTCATCCGATGCCTACAATCAATCACGACTAACAAGATCTGGCGCGCCTATCAACGTGCCGCGGCTATTAATCCAACATCAAAAGGAGCACGGAAATGCCGCGCGGTTATACTTCAACAAACCCCATCTATATTTTATGCACACGAGTGCATGGCTTCTACGGTGATGACCTTCGGTACAGATTGACAACCAAAGCGACACACTGCCTGTAGTTTTAAGGAGGGGACCCTTGAGCTTAATACATGGAGGAGATACGAAATAGTGTATGTTATAGTTGCGGATGCAGTGACACGAACGCTACATCATCGACACAAGGCTGTGAGCTACCGCACGCCGCACTCAAATTAGCGCAGTCAGTGTCCATCCTATTCCGCTGGGCTCCACTTCACTTTTGGACACATAGCACCTGCTCTATTACATTTTCTTCGCAACCGGTGCAGGCATCGTCACCTCCTAACGGTAGCCAAGTGCTTGGGCGCTGCCCTCGAGCCGGCAAGGTGAGGCGCTCATCGGAGCTGGCACTGAATTTCAAAGCACTCAATGAAAGCCAACGGATCGCCCGACGCCGTCCAGCTTAACATGAATAGTAATCCAAGCAAATGCGCCATCAATCGGCATATTCCGCGAACACGTGCACAACACCAAATCCATTGCCTCCTGTTGAGCCCCTCCCGCGCTTACCCAGCCCCACCGGCGCCTGCCCAGCGCTCAAGCGGCCCACCGAGCTCCACCTCGGCCTGCCCAGCTCCAAACCAGCCCTGCCGAGCTCCAAGCCAGCTCTGTCGAGCTCCCAGCCAGCTCTGTCGAGCTCCCAGCCAGCTCTGTCGAGCTCCAAGCCAGTTCTGTCGAGCTCCAAGCCAGCTCTGTCGAGCTCCAAGCCAGCTCTGTCGAGCTCCAAGCCAGGTCTGCCGAACCCCAAGCCAGGTCTGTCGAGCTCAAAGCGTCGACTAAAGAGCGTGATGAACGCAAAATGAGTACTCCGTCAAGCCCTAGTCTGACAGACATTTGTCAAATAATATACTGGAGAGGACATTGCCAGCTTTTAGGCCTAGGTTACAGTTAACGCGCAATCAAGAGTCAAAAATATACGATGAAAAGACCGCATTTTCTTTCTCTAGCTACCCATCATTCCAGATCCAGCGTCATTAAATATTAGCACGCAAAATTAAGCAATGCGCATGTGTTAGGCCGCCCGACTCATTCTGGGCCTTGCATTTTCAGAAGCTATGCTAGACGTCACATGGGCGAGTTCAGGACACATGCCCAGTCACCATGTCATCATGAGCCCATGATTGATATGATACATGAGCCCAGCCCCCTGTGCGCGTCCTGGGCGCGTTTTCGTTTGATGCCAGATGTTGCCAAAAGGCTCAACGTACGTTTGCAGTAGAACTACGCGCCTGGAGAACGTGGAAAGGGAGGGGAGGAGGAGGGGAGGTGCCATCCCCCAGTTCCAACATCGATAAAAAGCGATCGATTAGGAAGCTATTACCTACTCATGAGACATCTTCCACATCCAAGATATCGCGCGCATCGGAAAGCAATGTAGCCGTGCCTGCAATATCTTAACCGTGTGTGGTCCGGTGCCCAAAACAGTGGCAGGCACACATGACGCTCCGTCTGGTGGCCGGCGAGTGAGCTCAGCGCTGGAGCTGACGCCCGACGGCGGCGACGGCGGCGACGGTCACCGTGGCCCGCC